AATCAGATTAGGATTAGATTTGATTCTTTGTTCATACGTTTTTAACAACACACATATCCATTTGGCAAACAGTATTTCCTGGAAGAGGTAGAAGTTCTGCCAATTGTGAAACTTGCCATGCCCTTCCAGACATCTCTGTACTTCTGCTACCCACAGCTCCCCACCGTATGTTCACTGCACAATGATAGTGTTCTCAAGATAGAGGAGTCTCTAGCCTCAGGAGGCTCCACCCCATCCATAAAAACAGCCTCTTCCACAGCAGTAGAGGATGGCCCTTTACAGAATCTCTAACATAAGATTCCCCTGTGCACTGTGAACTGAGAGACTTCCTTGTCTTCCTTATCTCCTTGTGCTCTACCAGTGGGTACAGCACAGTACAGAAGCCAAGAGACCTTCCCCAATTCAAATAGAATCATCTTTCTGTTTCTGAGATTAAATTACATTTATTAAGACATTTTATGTGGACTTTCAGATTTATTACTCCTCAGAACATCTCTTCAAACCCAATCACACACATCGCAATGCTTCTACTCCTTCTGGTCCTGATTCTGGCTCCGTAACTGCTTGAGACAGCAACCTGCTCTAAAGCACACTGTAGATACCACATAACCTCCTTTACCTGACCTCTGAATGCCACAGCCATTCATGCAAGTTCTCTGGCTAGAGACCTGGGAATATCTTCATGGACATTCTCCTTCCCTGATGAATTTATATTTCTCAAAACTTGTCAAACCCTTCCACTGTTTTCTAAACTTTATCTTAGGTGACCATTGCCTTTCACTTGAATTGCCCTAACATTTTCCAAATGGTCTACATATCTGAGATCTTCCTTCTGTTCCAACCCAGTTCATTCTCTTCCACTTAAAACATTTTGTAGATTTCCATTGACTTGCAGAATATGACTAAACTTTTTATATTCAAATGTTAGACATCAATACTTCTTAACCAACATTGCCCAGCTTACCAGTTCTTAAACTCATCCATGGTCTAGTGTTTGCACACTTACCCAGTCTTATAAATCTTCCTTGTTCTGGACTTTGCACACCTATCCATTGTGAAACTCACCTACTCCTCATCTACTTGCTGTACGCTTATGCGCTAAGCCACATTCTTAGTCTCTCAGTTTTCCCAAAGTTGCAACGTACTTTCTCACTCACTGCCGAGCCTTAATGCATGCTGTTCACACTCCCTGGAGTAATCTTTGTGTCCCTATGCACCAGTACACCTAACTAGCTAATCTTTCATGTGGAAATCACATGTTCTAAGAAACCATGACTGAACATTGACTCTATAAATTTCTCTCCTAGAAGTATTTCTGCAATTATTTGGGAATTTTGACATTTTGAAAGGCTGAATTATGATTCCAAAAATGTTCATATGCTAATCCTTGGAAATTATGAGTATGTCGCTTTATATGACTAAAAGGGCTTTGCATATATGATTAAGTGAAGGATCTTGAAATGAAGAGATTGTTGTGACTGATCAGCAGCAATACAATAAGCAGAGCCCTTGTAAGAGGCATGGTAGAGGAACAGAACCAGAGACAAGAGATGTGACAATGGAGGCAGAGACAGGAGTGACACACTTTAAACATGTAGGGAGCAGTCATAAGCCAAGTAGTGAAGGGGCTTCCAGAGCCAGAAAAGGCCAAGAAATGGATGGTCCCTGAAGCCTTGAGAAGGAACAGCAGCTACTAGCACTTTGATTGTCATTGCATAAGATTCTGAACAGAATGAAAGCTGAAAGATGGAATCAATAATCATAAAAGCAGAAACTAATAAGGTTGAAAATATAAAAACATTAGAGCTAAGAGAAATAAATAAGCCAATTGTTTGGGGGAAAATAGAAAACCACTTGCTAACAAAAAGCCAGAGAACTAATATAATAAATAAGAAATGACAAGGAAAACTATCATCATGATAGAGTACATTTTTTGCAAACATATTTTATACTATTCTGTACAAATAGCCTAAATGAGATAGGTCACAGTTTGGAAAGATGTTTTTAATAAAACTAATCTATTGTGGATAGAAAGTCTAAACAGAGCAAGACTGTAAAAGAAGCATAAATTTGTAATAGAATTTCCTCACATAAAAGCATCACTGCACTTGGTTTCTCATAAGAATTTTGTCAAACCTTTTATAAATCAGAGATTGTAAAACTACCAACAGCATTCATGTTCTCTTGGATTTGGATATGATGGTCCCTTTGCCTGGTTTAATAGAAAATTATTTTTCCTACGAAGCTTACATAATACTACATCACTTCTGCAAAGCTACCTCCCTGTTCCCTGAGAGACAGGGAGATCTGCTAACAGGAAAAGTAATTGCTGAAACAAAAACATGTTCAGTTGGATGAAATATTTACCTTGGACCAGAAATGTTTATATGAAAATGTAATTGTTCAGAACTCTATAATAATTCTCATAATAATAATAGTAAGATACCAACCTGGTTTCAGAAATGATTCAGTACTATCATGAACTGTTTAGGATCACTTAGGATGTGCTAAATACTAAAGAAAACCAGTTTATTTTATTTATTTTTTTAACTTCCTTCTTTTTTTAAATTTTTATTTATTATTTATTTATTTTTATTTTATTATTCATTTATTCACATGTACATACATTGTTTGGGTCATTTCTCCCTCCTGGCCCCTTAGAAATAAGTACAAAAACCGAAAGATATGACCTAGAAAGTGACAAAAGCCAGACCTTTATAAAAGCCAATCCAAAAGAGATACACTAGAAATTTAAAGACAAAAATGGACTTTAGAAAGCCACTTATTATAAGAGTGCTCAAGGTTTTCAGGGGAAAAAAATAAACAGAGCAAGTTTAGGATATCTGTCAATAAATATTTTAAATTTCAGATTGCCAGAGAATAGCATATAAAGTATGGTTTGCTCTTCATAAGTTAGAGTAAAATGAAAAATAATTCCTACAGAAAGAAGACACCAGCCAAACTCTTAAAAAATGAAAAAAGAAAAAAACTGCAAATTATAGAGAATCTTTGGGAAAATTATCATTAATAGTTGAAAGTACAGATTTTGGAACCCGAGTCACTCTCCACTTTTTCCAAGTTACTTAACTTCTCTCAAGGTAGTTTACCACTCTATAAAATTAAGTCAGTAATATGTGGATCTAATAGGTTTTATTTACTTGAGAAACTGTATGTTTATTGTCCAACATAATCACCATACAAAAATAAGACGATATTACGTGATGGTGTTAATAGCAGTGATGGTTCTACTGGCTAACCATTTTAAAAGTTAAGGCTTAACAAGTAATTACTGTGTTTAAGTATGTAGCCCTTTCATATTGATTCACTTAATCCTCATAGCAAAACAGTTGATTTACTTACCTTCCTAAGACAGCAGCAGAACCAATATTCAAATCCAGGCAGTCTTCCTTATGAGCTTCCATGATAACCACTTGGTAAGACACATGACAGATGAAGAACTAACACTGATTCAGAAAGAGGACAAAAGAGAAAAAAGCACACACAAGCATTCCAGGTACACAGTCCGTGACCCAACAAGAGCTGTAAAGGGACTCATTCCTTCTCTAATCCTGTCATTGATATTGGGCACATTTGGGTGATAGACTTCTTATTCCCTGAGAGTTGATAAGATCAGGACTTATGAGAAACAAATCAGTTCCTGGGATTTCTAGACTCTTGTACAAGCATTTAAAAAAATTGTAGCTAAAATAGTGGGCACTACCTGTAACTTCTGCAGTCTCCTGCAAGCCACCTGGCCATTAGAGAATCCAGAACCCAAATGCCTTAAGAAAGATAGGAAGAAAAGCTTTTCTGGAATGTCTTTAAGACTTTGTTCATTCTGGTGTGACCAAGACATAGGGCTAAGGCTGCAATGAATCTAGTACTCACTTGTTAGTAGAAGGACTGAAGATGTCCCTGATATGTCTATTCCTCCAGGAAGATGAGAACATTTCTTTGTAGTCCACGAGGCATCTATGTCTCTTTCCTTCCAGTTCATATAAGGCAATGCATAGCCACATTCTCAGTTGATCTAGAATTTGAGAGAACATCTTCCTAGAAATGATGTTATAAGAGATTGCAACTTGATCCCAAGTGCACCTTTGAAGACTACAATCTCACGGTATCTCCAACATCCTTTTCTTTCCCTCCAAAGCAAACATTTGCTTTCTTTTCTTTTTTTGTTTGTTTTGTTTGTTTGTTTGTTTTTTAAGATTGGGTCTCTTTATAACCTAGTGGTCCTAAAACTTTCAGGCTGGCCTCAGATTTATGATCTTATTGACTCAGTCTTCCAAATGCTGGGATTATGGAAATGAATGACTACACCCTTCCCAAAGAGAATGTTTTCCTGAGCAATAACTGGAATCCTCACTCAATAGGAACACAGGTACATCAGCAATTCTCCATACCCAAGTTCACCTGGTTGAACCTTTGCTAGGAGGACTATACAAGATCCAAATTCTCTCTGAACCCATTTGGGCACTTCCTAGTTATTCCTAGGCTTATATACCCTTGGCTGCTCCATAGCCTCTGACATACCTTGCCACTCCCTTAAGAGCCCAAGGAGAGAGAAAGGATGACAGCCTTATATGGGAAACATGCAGAGATTATAAAGCACCAGGAGAATGAGCAGACTGGTCAGAGTACTTTTGGAGTGGAATTTGACATTTTGGGTATAGTGATAAAATGAGAAAGAGTTCCAAAAGAAATAGAGAAAACACTCAAGTTCCCATATTTTTACCATATTTTAAAAAAATATTTAAAAGACAAAAATCATTATAACAAAAGGATATATCATTAAAAGGAAATCAGAAGCAAAAACAAAAACAAAACCAAAAAACCTTTTATGCTGATTCTTCCATGGAACAACATAAACAGTTATGTGACCAGAATAAATGAAACTGTCCTGCTGGCTGAGTCTTCTAAATCTTTTCTGAATCAGTGAGGGAGGGTGTGGTCTCTCTGCCCTGGAAGTAGATTAAATTTTTGATGCCAGAGACTAAATGCATCACAACGCCAGGCCATTTTCCACATCTTACACTGCCATGAGCTCTAGGCTTCTCTGCTGGGTGGTTGTTTGTGTCCTGAAAGCAGGTGAGTCCTCGCACAGGTGAGAATTCCTGTCACTAGCTTCCCAGGTTCTCACTACAAAATGTTGCTTCATTGCTGTAGCAATGTTCTCTTCCCCAGGCTCTGTTCTTATTTGATCATTTGTTTCTTCTCCTACAGGCTTAGGCTTCAAGGATGCTATGGTCACACAGTTCCCAAGATATAAGACCTCCAGGACAGGAAAGGAATTAACACTACTGTGTTCTCAGAACATGAATCACTTTTCAATGTACTGGTATCGACAAGACCCAGGACTTGGATTGCAGCTCACTTATTACTCAACTGGTATTGGCAGCATTGAAAAGGGAGATGTCTTCAAAGGGTATCATGTCTCTCGAAAAGAACAAGAGCATTTTCCCTTGACCCTGGAGTCTGCCAGTACCAACCAAACATCTGTGTACTTCTGTGCCAGCAGATTATCCACAGCACTGCAACACCACATCCTCTCCATACAACAATGAGACAAACTAAGGAGGGGACTTTGCCTTCAATACCTCTCACCTTAGCCAGGAGATGTTTCCCTACAAGTTTGTACCATAGCTCTGTTGATATTCCTGGCTTACCTCTTCCCATTATTCTCCTTCTAGAACACCTTTTCTATTGAAATCAAGGTCTTTCCCCTCATGGACATTCCAATTTTCTAGAGGGCATTAACACAATATGAGCAATTTCTTAAATGAAGGCCATTTTTCATATACAAATGTAAGGAAATTTTGATGACACTGAAATCCGTACAATCAAGTGTGTGTGAGTATGTGTACGTGTGTGTGTGCATTTAAGAGAAATGAAATTTATTTATTTATGGGGCAGAAGCAGGTGCACATTTAAAAATTATGACTTGTGGCTCTGGATAGAAAAACCAGAGATGCAGCAGGCTCACTGGTACTTTCCCAAAGGAGGAGATTGAATATAGCCATTTTTATTGTTTTCCTGTTGCTGTGTATCAAGTACTCGCAAATTTAACAGGTTAAAACAACAAGAATACATTGTCTCACAGTTCTGTGTGTCAGAGGTCCAGGAATGTGTGGCTTAGTTCTCAGCATTTTCTCAGGGAGAAATCAAGGTTCAACTGGATGCATTCTCCTCTGGAGCTCAGTTACTCCTCTTATCTCACTTCTATCATTGCCAGTATTCACTTCCTTGTGAGGTAGGACTCAGTACTCCATTTGCTGGTTGGCTATAATTGGAGATTGTGCTCAGCTCCATGCAGATTCTCTGTCCCTTCCATCTTCAAAGTCAGAAATGCACATCAAATCCTATGATTCAAATTTCTTATTCCCTTTCTGCTGCAGGCTCAGTGCTTCTTAGAGGGCTCACCTGATTGGACTAGATTAAGCCCACCAGGATAATATCTCTTTTGGAAAATAATGTAACATACTACAGGAGCTATATCTCATTGCATCATTAATGTCCACATATACTCAAATAGAAGAGGATGAACCATGAGCAGGGGTCACTGGGGATAATGCTTAGAATTCTGCTTACCAGATTAATGGATACCAAATGCCAGGGAGATCAGGAAAAAAACTGAAGAGAGCATACAAATGAAGGCAATTAAATGACACTTTAAAACTGTTCAAGAGGTGTTTCAGAGTTTTGGCCATGCAGTGGGACAAGTTCTCTCCCTACTGCTTCAGCAGGAACACAGTATAAAAGTAAAATGGACTAAAAAGGAGCAAAGAGCTGGTCTAGGAAGAAAAGACGAGGTGCTGGGATAAATCTGGATTCTGAAGGACAACCAAAACTCAGAAACAAAGGGTTTTGGTCCCTTGGCTGACCAAGGGAAGAAAAATGATACCAAAGTCATTACTAATGGAAAGGTAGCATGGAAAGAAATTTGAGAACATTTTTTCTGAAGAGAATATATTTAGTTGGCAAAGATAAAGAGACATATATTTAGGTTTGTCCATATAAATTTTGTAGTAAACTAACATGGAAATTGTTTTTCTTACAGTTGATTTTTTTGGAGGGGAAGTATCCAGTCCTTTGAAATTCCAGTAAGTAGAAAAAGTAATAACCTCAAGCTGAAGCTTCAGAAAAACAATGCATGTAGTCAACAAAGGAATTTTGTTATAAGCAATTTGGCAAAGGCTTCCTGAGGAAGAAATCTGGGATGACACAAATATCAACCAAAGTCTTGGGGCAGCAAACTGAATGACATAGCTTTCTATGATTAGACAACAAAGGCAACTCAGTGTAACTAAAATACTGAGGAGTTGCACAGAAGTGAATGGCCACTTTCAATTCCATTGATAGAGAAAAAATAAGAAGAGGAGAGAAAAGCTACTCTTTCTCAGAGGTAACTTTAAAATAAATTTTTACTACAATATATTCATTATATAAGAGGGGATTCATAATGACAATTCCGATTAGGTTTATATTGTACATTAGTCACATTGCCCCATCATCTGTCCCCACTTAAAACAATTGCAAGGGGCTTCTTTGTTCCATTTCATATATGTATATGAAGTTCATCAACCATATACTCTCACCTTAATCTCCTTCATTTACCCTCCCCACTTCCATTTGTACCCTACCTCACACACTGAATCTATTTTACAGTACTGTTTTTCATTATTAATATTTGAGTTTATGTTCAAAGGGGATTCCCAAGTATCCCTACTGTGGGTACACTTTACTTTGGTCCATTCAACCTTTTTCATTACTCCCCTAACCTCTTTACCAACCACTCCCTCCATTTCAACAGCTTTCAATACACATCCATATACTCTCTACCTTCACAGATGTTGTGTTTTACGTTTACTGATGTTCTGTCATTCTCTTTTATTTTCCTTCTTTCCCCATGTTCGACAGAGTAGTTCCACTGTTACAAACATGTTCTACATATGAGTTTGTACATGATCATGCTTGTTTTTGTGTATATGTTTACCTTTGGATTTATCTTCCACATATGAGGAAAACATGTGGCCTTTGTCTTTCTGAGCCTGCCTTACTTCACTTAATATGATGTCCTCCAATTGCATCCATTTACCTTCTAACCACATGTTATTATTCCTTATGGCTGAATAAAGCTCCATCATGAATGTATACATTTTCTTGATCCATTCATCAGTTGTAGGGCACCTGGGTTGTTTCCAAAGCTGGGCTACTGTGAATAGTGCTGTGATGAACATTGGTGTACAGGTGTCTCTATTGTATCTTGACTTTTGTTCCTTTGGGTAGTTGCCCGGGAATGGTATTACTGGATCATAGGAAAGTTCTATCTTTAGCTTTGTGAGGAATCTTCATACTGCTTTCCATAGTGGGTGTACTCATTTGCATTCTTACCAACAATGTATAAGGGTTCCAGCATTTGTTGTTGTTTTTACCCTTGAATATGGCCATTCTAACTAGAGTGAGATGAAATCTATTGTTTTGATTTGCATCTCTTTTATAACCAGGGAAACTGAACACTTTTTAATGTGTTTACTGGCTGTTTGTATCTCTTCCTTTGAGACTTCCCTGTTTAATTCATGTGCCCATGTTGATTTTTTGGGGCTTGAGTTTTTTGAGTTCCCTGTAGATTCTGGATATTAGTCCCTTATGGGATGAGTAGCTAGCAAAGATTTTCTCCCATTCTGTGGGCTGTCTCTTGAGTCTAGTGACTGTTTCTTTTGTTGTGCAGAAGCTCTTTAGTTTGATGAGGTCCCATTTGTTTATTCTTTCTCTTAGATACTGAGTCTTTTGAGTTCTACTTAGGAAGGTGTTCCCTATACCTATATGCTCCAGTGTATTTCCTACAATTTCCTGTAGTTTTTTCAAAGTTTCAGGCATTATTTTAAGGTCTTTTATTCTCTTTGAGTTGATTTTGGTACAGGGTGAAAGACAGGGATCTAGTTTCAGTCTTCTACATGTGGATATCCAGTTTTCCCACCAGCATTTGTTGAAGAGGCTGTCTTTTCTCCATCATGTGTTTTGGGCTCCTTTGTTGAAGATCCTTCCTGCTGTTCATTATCCAAGAAGGGAAATTGGGTCACAGGAATCATTACCCATGTATTAATGAACATGAGATCTGTAACTTTCATTTGGTTTTTAATTTGAATTAGAAACAAAATGAACACTTACACTTGCAGGTAAAACTCATTATGTTGTTTGTCCCTCCTATACTACATTTCCAGTTCCAAATATGCAGCTTTTGGCCTTCTGAACATGGCTAAATTCACTTAAGATGATGTTTTCCAGTTCCAAATAACAAAATTTCATTCTTAAGTACTTTTCAATATCCTTGCCAACATTTGTTATTGTTTGTGTTCTTGATGATAGCATTTCTAACAGTAATGAGGTGGAATTTTAATGTGGTTTTGATTTGCATTTCCTTTATGGTCAAGGATACTGAACATTTCTTCATGTGCTTTTTGGCCATTTAGACTTCTTCCTTTGAAAAATCTCTGTTCAGTTAATTGCCCATTTCTTCATTGGGTCATTGATTTTTTGGGGAAAGAGTTAAATTTATTGAGCTCACTCTATGTTCTGGTCATTAGTCCTTTGAGAGATGTATTGCTGGCAAAGATTTTCTCCCATTCTTTGAGCAGCCTCTTCAATTTGATGACCATTTCTTTAGTTGCACAGAAGCCTTGTAATTTCATAGTCCCATTTGGCAATCATTTCTCTTAGTTGCTAAGCTATTTGAGTTCTAGTTAGGAAGTCATTGCCTATGCCTATTAATTCCAGTGTATTCTCTGCTCTTTCCTACACTAGCTTCAACTTTTCAGGTCTTACATTAAGGTCCTTAATTCACTTTGAGCTGATGCTTGTACAGCGTGAAAGACACAGATCTAGTTTCAGTTTTCTGTATGCAGATATCCAGTTTTCCCTGCAACATTTATTGAAGAGACTGTCTTTTCTCCATCGTAAGTTTTTGGTGCCTTGGTCAAAAATCAGATAGGTGTAGCTATGTGGATTCATATCTAGGTCTTCTAGTCTGTTTCACTGGTTTTGTGCCAGTATCATGCTGGTTTTTTTGCTATGGCTTGGTAATATAGTTTGAAGTCAGATATTGTGATACCTCCAGTGTTGCTGTTTTTGCTCAGTATTGCCTTGGTTATTCATGGTCTTTTTGTGCTTGCAAATGAAAATTCAGGTCAATTTTTCAATCTCTGTGATGAATGTCATTGGAATTTTAATGGGGATTGCATTGAACATGTAGATTGCTTTTGGTTATATAGCCACTTTCACAATATTGACTCTATCAATTCATGAGCATGGGAGATCTTTCCATCTTCTGTAGTCTTCTTTGATTTCTTTCTTCAAAATGGTTTATAGTTTTCCTTGTAGAGGTTTTTCAATCCTTTCTTAAGTTTATTCCCAGATATTTTTTGAGGCTATTGTAAATGGACTTTCTGTTCTTCCATTGCCCTCAACAGCCAATCCATACATGAAATGCTTTCATTTCTAGCTCCTAAGTAATGTTGATCTTCATCTATTATCTAAATCACTATTCTGCCATGTTGTAAGACATAAA